GCTTCTCTGGGCTTGGAACCCCATCCCCTCCGTTTTAGCCGTATGGCTTAATGTTATTACAGTGTGTGAATGAAAAACCGCATCAGTTTTTTCCATGAAGAAGGTGAAGTTGCATAGTATAACAGCATGGCTTCTTTGCTTCTAGAAATAGCTATAAATTTACGTTTTTCGACGCTTAATTTTCTGCTTTTGATATGATGTCTCTAGAAATGTTTTCCACTTTACTCAGGGCTTAATTTTAGTTACGACGTCATCGTGAACGCGGATGCGGAAGAGATTTTAAATCGGTTTTACAAGCATGAAGCAAAGGTGTTGTTTTCGGCCGACGGGAATTGTTGGCCAGATTCGACCCTAGCGGTATAACCGATTTATTTTGTAACTGAACACACGGGTTTGGTTTGATGAATGACGTTTAGATGAAATATCCCATTGTCAAGTTTGGCAAACGCTACTTAAATTCTGGTGCGTTTGTTGGCTACGCGCCGGAAGTGTACAAAATGATCACACATCAGCCGATTGATGACGGAGAAAATGACCAGTTGTTCTACACAATGTTGTATCTGGACGACCATCTAAGGGTAGGTTGTCTCCTTGCTGCTAAACGTTGCCAACTGTTTTGCAACTGAAGTACTCTAGGAGGAGTTGAATATCAAGTTGGACAGCACTTCCGAAATCTTCCAAAATCTGAAAGGCGCAGTTGAGGATGTCAGCATCGATCTTTCTTTGCCAGACAAAGGCCCACAGCTCGCAAACAACGCCTATGGAACATTGCCAGTTATCGTGCATGCTGCTGGAAGTAGCAGAGTGAGTAACTGCCTTTTCACTGTCTTCTTCATTACTTGTCGCACCTCCGATCAGTTCGAATTGATCTGATCTGTTGTTTCCTGCAACAGAACACTACTAAACACCGGGAAATTCAAAATATTCATGCTTTAGAGAGTTGATCGTCCATTTATTATTTCTTGAGAAGCCGACAAAACAATCTGTGAAACCGTAAAGTCGTGGTTAACTTTAAGTCTGCAAGACAGCAGTAAACACGGCTATGGTTATGCCCAAAGTGATGTATATTTCAAGTAATATTGTATTTAAAGATAATCCGGAAACAACTATTTTATTGTGATGTCGTTACTTATTTTTAAAGATTTGCATATGCTTTCTTGAGCCTTTTATTTGAAACAGCAGTAATTGCATCATATCATTACAATGCAAGCGTTATCATTGATTTCCTCGAAACTGATGCTCACCGTTCGATTTTTTCCATGACCATCTTTAGGATCTATGTTACAGTTCAGAATATCATTTCACAGTTATTTAAATGGCTTCTGAAAGAAGTTACTTCACGCTTTATATCGCGTGAGTTCACTAAATGATGGATTTCGAAAGAACAAAGCTAAAGCTGGCATCAGAACAGTTGCGTTGACATTATTCTTCTAAAATTAATTCTGCTTCATCAATATTAAAAGGAAAAATCTGGTGAAAATATCGAAACCTATGATATACTCACAACTAACATCAAACAGGGTGAAATATTCTCTGTTAGTTCTGTTTCATGAGATTCTTTCTGTATATCCATGTAAAATACTTTTTAACTGAATAAATGACATTATTGAAGCTTCACTATTGCCGTTAGTTTCGAACTTTTAGAAGTAATTTTGTAGTATTTGTTATTTTCAAAGCTATTTCGGTCCTTGGTGATTGTGTAACTGCACCGTATATGCTGAAATGGCAGAAATCATGTCATGTTTAAATGGCACCCTGAAATCTGGGAGTAAATGATTGATCCTACACAGTTTCTTCTATTAAGGTGAAATTATGCGTAGACTGACACTAATTCAGTTAATTGGGCGCATTCATGAAAAGCATTTCCTCGAATCAAAAAACAGAACAGGCATTTGAGTCAATGAAGAATAACTCGTGCAGTAGTTAAAAACGATATTAGTTATGCGCTGTTGTCATTTAGTAAAGTTTCGTAAGCACTGAAGGCTTCATTCTCAGCTGACGTATATTTTTTATTCAGGTGAATTGGCACTTATTAGTTAATTATAATTAGCACTTATTATTAATGAAACAAGTCTTTTTCTCGGCGAAGAGTTGAACATACATCGTTAACACTCGCCATCGATGATATTCCACTGGTCACAGGGTAAACAATTAAATAAATTATAGCAGTTGTTCGTTTATAAATTAAGGCATGCAAATTTGATTCTGCTTTGTAGATTCACCTGAATAACTTTGGCAATTATCTTGCAAACTGGTGGAATCCGAAGGATGGTTGCGTTGCTTGCCACGAAAACACTATATTGCTCGAACAAGAAGATGTAAGATTTTTGTTCATTGTCAGTCTCACTTTTGAAATGACTAAACTTTAGCAACAGAAATGGCCTACCGTGCAGTTATCAATATTCTTCGTCAGAGCTGCTCCGTTTATTGAATTTTTCTTCGAATATTTGATGAAGCTTAACTATCCGAAATCTCGAATATCTCTGTTTATTTATAATAAGGTACGAAAGTTA